CACTTTGTCAGTATCCGTGTGGTCAGAAGGGACTAACTCTGCCTGTATGTTGAAACTGTGCGGTTAAAAGAAATAGGGAAGCTGCTGATAAACGCTATCGGACGGAAGGGGAGGAGTTACCCCCGTCAGCCTCCACGATGAGCCTAGGGAAAGCGGGTCCACCGAGCAAGGTCGGCAGAGAGGGGGTGAAGGAAGCAGGCGAACACACCAGCATGGCACCGGGGCTGTGGCGTGTGCCCGAGCCAGCCGCGCCCCATCGGCCTGACGCCAGGACTGGAGTCTCCATCGCTGGGCCAACATGTTGTCCCCATGGTGTCTCTGACAAAAATGCAAATGTGTCACATGGCGGAGAAAAGAAGTCAGCTCCCTCCTGCCACAACACAGCAGAAACCACCCATGAAGGACTGTGCCCTGGGAGGGAAAGGCGCTCGGGAGCACACAGGACAAGGATGTCCCAAAGAGAAAAGGAAGAAAGCAAGGGTGCAGAGACAGTCACCCCAAATAGAAGCCTGTCTCCCTACACATCAGAAGACAATACAGTTCCAAGCAGAATCAAGGAGGGGTGCCCGGGTGGCTCAGTTGGTTAAGCGTCTGACTCTCGATTTTGGGTCAGGTCGTGATCTCACTGGTTCATGAGATCGAGCCCTGAGTCAGGCTCTGTGCTGACAGCGTGGAGCCTGCTTGGGATTCTCTCTCTGGCCCTCTCCCGCTCTCTCTCCCTCACTCTCTCTTTAAATAAATAAATAAACGTTTTTTAAAAAGCAGAATCTAGGGGTGCCCGGGTGGCTCGGTCAGTTAAGCGGCCGACTTCGGCCCAGGTCATGATCTCGCGGTCTGTGAGTTCAAGCCCCGCGTCAGGCTCTGTGCTGACAGCTCGGAGCCCGGAGCCTGCTTTGGATTCTGTGTCTACCTCTCTGTGACCCTCCCCCGTTCATGCTTTGTTTCTCTCTGTCTCAAAAATAAATAAACATTAAAAAAAAATAAAATAAAAAAAGCAGAATCCATGAAATAGAAAACAGAACAAAGAAATGGAGAAACACAATGAAACCAGAAGTTGGTTCTTTGAGAAGATTGATCAGATTGATAAAACCGAACAGACTTGGCAAGAAAATACAGAGGAGACACAAATGACCAGGAATGGCAGGAATGAGGGAGGTCACGTCACCAGAGGCCACAGATATTAGTTGGATAAGAGAACAACTTCATGCCAGTGGACAAATTAAATGGACATTTCAAAGACACAGGCTAGCAAAGTTTACTCAAGAAATAGACAATCTGAGGAGCCCTCTATCACCTCAGGCCGTTGGATTTGTAGTTAAAAACCTTCCCACAAAGACAACTCCTGACCCAGCTGGCTCCACTGGTAAATTCTACCAAACACTTAAGGAAGAAACGATACCAAAACCAGAGAAAAACATTGCAAGGATTTTAAAAACTACAGACCAACATCCCTCCACGAACATAGTTGCAGAAATTCCAAACAAAATTTTAGCAAATAAAATCCAACAATAAAGAAAAAGGACAAAATTTCATGAGTGAGATTTGTCCCAGGAATGCAAGGTTGAGTTAATATTTGAAAATCCATCGGGGTGCCTGGGTGGCTCAGTCGGTTAAGTGTCCGACTTTGGATCAGGTCATGATCTGACCATGGGTTCGAGCCCCACGTCGGGCTCTGTGCTGACAGCTCGGAGCCTGGAGCCTGCTTCGGATTCTGTGTCTCCCTCTCTCTCTGCCCCTCCCCTGCTCACAATCTGTCTCTCTCTGTCTCAAAAATAAATAAACATTAAAAATATATAAAATAAAATATAAAATAAAATAAAATAAAATAAAATAAAATAAAATAAAATAAAATGAAACAATGACAAAGCAGAATGACTCAAAGATCTGCCGATAGCGGTAGCTTAAATAATTATGATAGGGGCGCCTGGGTGGCTCAGTCGGTTAAGCGTCCGACTTCGGCTCAGGTCACGATCTCGCGGTCCGTGAGTTCGAGCCCCGCGTCGGGCTCTGTGCTGACGGCTCAGAGCCTGGAGCCTGTTTCAGATTCTGTGTCTCCCTCTCTCTCTCTGACCCTCCCCCGTTCATGCTCTGTCTCTCTCTGTCTCAAAAGTAAATAAACGTTAAAAAAATTTTTTTTTAAATACAAAATAATTATGATAGATTCACACGATGAAATTATTAAAACATGTTGCAGAAGACCATTTACTGAATGAGATAATGGTCACAAAATATAGTAAATAAAAAGCAGATTAGAAAATAGTGAGCATTGATGGATCCCAATTCTGCAGACACATATACACGTATGTACGCATGTACTGTGTGTGTGTGTGCTTCTGTGTATACCTACTTGCTACGTGTGCATAAAAAAGCACCTGGAAACAGACATGACAAAGTCAGAGTGCTGACCTTTGAGGGGTATTGTGGATGACCCCCGTTCTCTTCATGGAGTTATCTGCACAGCTTCTTGGCATTTTTTCTCAATAAGGACTCCTTTCATAATCAGATTTTTTTTTTAATGAAAAAGTGTATACTCCTAAAGAAAAATTACAGAACTCTTTGGGGCGACTACAGTCCCATTGGTGTGAGGACACAGAGGTCCCCACTCCAGAGCACTTGCTATCAGGCACCTCGCCTAACGTTTCTGATCCAAGCCTCCTCAGCTGGAAAGCAAGGGGGGCTGACAACATAACCTGGAAGCTGCCTTCCTGTCCTCCAGGGCTAACTGCTCGTTCTAATCATAGCGCCGAAATGCACTCAGGGTACGTGTAGACTGAACTTGAGGGGAACTTTTCAGAATTGTTGCTTACTCCCCGTGCCTGCCCCACCTGGAGACAGGAAAGCAAGTGCCCGGGTCTTAAGAATAATCATACACATTGGGGCGCCTGGGTGGCGCAGTCAGTTAAGCGTCCGACTTCAGCCGGGTCACGGTCTCGTGTGATCTCGCGTGATCTCGCGTGAGTTCGAGCCCCGCGTCGGGCTCTGGGCTGATGGCTCAGAGCCTGGAGCCTGTTTCCGATTCTGTGTCTCCCTCTCTCTCTGCCCCTTCCCTGTTCATGCTCTGTCTCTCTCTGTCCCAAAAATAAATAAACGTTGAAAAAAAAAATTAAAAAGAAAAAAGAATAATCATACACCATGCCCACTCTGTTTACTAAGGTGGCCCTGACATTCAGTCACTGCTGGAATTCTTTTTTTTTTAACTTTATTCATTTTTGAGAGACAGAGCATGAGCGGGAAGGGGCAAAGAGAGAGGGAGACACAGAATCGGAAGCAGGCTGCAGGCTCTGAGCCGTCAGCACAGAGCCCGACACAGGGCTTGAACCCACCAACTGCAAGATCATGACCTGAGCCGAAGTCTGACACTCAACCGACTGAGCCAGCCAGGCGCCCCTGGAGTTGTTTCTTATCGGAGACTTGCCTGCCTGCCCTTGGCAAGTTACAGTAGAAGGTGGGGACGTACGACCTGACTCATCGCACTGCCCTGAAATGCAGACTCTGAGGAGACAGCTAAATGCTCTGCAGGCTGATGCTGGAGCTCCAGGGCTGTCCTTTACCGGAACTCGGCCGCAGATTCAAGGGCACACTAAACCCCGCTTCTCTAAACTGTGGAGGAAGAGGGCCAGCACTGATCTCTTTCTGGAACATTATGCATATTTCACCATTCGGTCCTCACACCGGTTCAAGGAGGAGAAAACAAGAATACCAAAACCAGAGGCACCAGGGTGGCTCAGGACGAAGTGCCCAACTCTCAATCTCATCTCAGGTCATGATCTCACAGTTCATGGGATCGAGCCCTGCATCAGGCTCTGCGCTGGCAACACGGAGCCTGCTTGGGATTCTCTCTCTCCCTCTCTCTCTCTGCCCCTCCCCTGCTCTCTCTCTCTCTCTCTCAAAAATAAGCATTAAAAAAAAAAGAATACCAAAAGCACCACTTAGAGAATAATCTCAAAAATCTCCTCTTTGAAATACCCAACAAAATGACAAGTCCATTTTTTAAGACAATTTTACATATTATATTATATTATTAAATATATGATTCATATTTATACCATATATGATATATAAGAAATATAATATTATGGATATTATATAGTATTAATATATAGTAAATATATTATTATATTTCCATATTATATTATATAACATCCTAAATCATATTATAGTCTAAATATCAGCAGGATATCTTGCTTAAAACTTAGCAATTTTTGTTGCTTATTTTAAAAGGTGGATCTCTTATTTTTTTATTTTTTTAACATTTATTCATTTTTGAGAGATGAGAGAGACAGAGCACGAGCAGGGGAGGGGCAGAGAGAGAGGGAGATACAGAATCCGAAGCCGGCTCCAGACTCTGAGCTGTCAGCCCAGCACAGAGCTCGACACGGGGCTCGAACCCGTGAACCGTGAGATCATGACCTGAGCTCAGGTCCGATGCTTAACAGACTGAGCCAGCCAGGTGTCCCAAAAGCTGGATCTCTTTTATACATATTAAATAGAATTTTTTTTTTTTTTTTTTTTTTTTTTGGCTAAGAACCAGGTGATGTGAACAGAGCGAGAAAAGGTTCCACACTACAGAGCTTTCAAATGTGTATCAAGCACAAAAATGTTAAGAACTTGGGGCAAATCTTTAAATTGAGCATTATAATTAGCTTCAACGTTATGTGAATTAAAATAGCTTTTCCTGACACCCATCTTTCCAAATCCCCCGTAACAAAAGAAAAGTGAAAAGTTTCAGTAAATAATTGCACAGTGTGTCACAGACGACTATCTTTCTAACCGTGGTCTTAGGGTATTTTTCCTGACTGCCGTCACGTTAGTTACTTAGGGGCTTCGACGGGTATGACAACCCCGCACAGTGGATTTGGGTTTCCAGAGCAACGGGCCTTTAGAGGCATTCCCTAAAAAATGCTAGTCTTCTAAAAGTGACATTATTCAACAGTGGCATTCGGAGTTTTCCCGGATCATCCAATTTATCCCACCGTTAGTCATTAGCACCGAACACTTACTTCCTTCAACTTGCTCATCTTTCCAGGTTTCCTGGGAACTATATGAATATAACTGCCAAAGAAGAAAGAAAAACCTAATTAGAAAGTAAATAATTTAGGGGGGAAATGTGAGCCTCTTCAGAGAGGACTCCTTCTCAGCACTCGGACATGCGAATCCACAGCAACTTGAAACTAAAGTCAAGAGTGCCACAGTCTTCCGTCGACATAGAACAGCAGTGTCATGGTGGGACATTATGGAGGGTGTCCCACTGGCTGCCATCGGCGTGGCCCATGGGAGACTGTCACCTGAATGGCACTCTCCTATAATGTTATTAATCAAAAAGGAACCCGAGACATCATTTATTCCACTTTCTTTTCTACCAGGTCACGGAAGGGCCCAGAAATGAGCTCATCAGAGTCCCACAGATTGGCCAGAGTCAGAGCGGAGTCCCCCCCCCACCCTTGCAGCTCATCGCCACCTGCACTGTCCCCTCCTGTCACACAGAATTACATCCCTGTCCCCATTCTGCCCAACAGTGAACACCGGAAAAAGCCACCAGAGGAGCATGGATGGGAGTCTGGCTAATACAATTCCTGGCACTTGGGGGCTTTTGGAGAGACCTCCATACGCCTCAAAAATAGAACAGATGTTTTTTCATGATAATAAATACCTTAATTTTGTATCTTTCAAGGTTTCTTCCTGATTAAAAAAAAAAATTACATTTGAGTTTGCTGCTGTTTTTGACAGTTTTATAAGATTCAGAGAAGTGTTGCCTGCATTGGCAGCTGGAAGGAAAAAGGAAGTAAGAAATATTCAGTAGAGCCCAGAGTCACAAGCCAGACGGGCCCACAGAGGCCAGATGGGCAGTGAGGACGCTTGCCCAGGGCAGAATCTGGGGGGAGGGGGATGCTGCAGGGCGCAAGGACACCTCCTGTCCAGGGTGAACACCTCCCACAGCCCCAGGGCACAGTTTCCACCGGACAACGCAGACAACTAAAAACTTAGTCCTTCCGAACAGTCAAATCCTCCATTTTTTTCCAATTAAACTAAAACTCTATACTATTCCATGAACTCCCTCATTGCAAAAGGTCCAGCCAATTCACATCTTTGAAAACTGATCCAAACTAAACAAGGCAGCGCTCGGGCCTCTCCGGCTCACCACCTCCGCCCGGCCCTTCCATGAGCTCTTCCGGTTTTAAGCCCCCGCATTCCGTGTTTGATTGTGAACATCAATCCCCAAACGAGACGACTTACTGCATCAGTAAATGGAAACAAAAAGCAAAAATAAATGCGGAAACACCAAGGCGTCAAAAGATCCAGCCAAGAACGTAAAATGCTGTTTGTTTCCATGCTGCATCCCAAAGGACGCATAAATAGAACAGAAGGAGGGGCTAAGTACTTCCTCAGAGGCCCAGTGGACCAGAGTCTCCAGGCCGGGCGCTTGGAGAAGGCGTTGGTGGGGCGTGGGTTTCCCCGGGGTGGGCAGGGGGTGGGGCGGGCACCTGGCGTAGAGACTGGACGTTCGTGTGCAGCACCCCCCTTGCTGCTTCCAGAGAATAAAGGAAAGGAGGAAGCCGGCCACGAGAGTCAGGCCAGGCATCTGCAAGTGCTGCGTCCGTAACATTCTCACAGCACCACTCGGGATGTGACGCCACACCGCACGTGAGTTGAGCCCATTTCGGTGGTGAGGACACCATCCCCAGCAAGCTTATTCCATGTGCTCAATGCTACTGAGATAAGGAAAGGCCAGGATGCACTTCAACCCGGTTCAACCTTCTTCTGTCCCTGAGACCACGTTCCTGCTCCTCTGTCCTGTTCCTGCCACCTGCTATCCCCGGCGTCCAAACGGGCGGCAAGGAGACACGAGGAAAGTTGGGGTGCCGGCAAACTACGATAGTGTTATCGAAAGGGCCTTTGCCTCGTACCTCAACTGCAAACTCATAAGGCAAAGAGAGACCATTCCTGGGGCAATCCAAACCCTTCGGGGTCTCCCCCAAACTTGCACACACACCCCTGCACACGCACAATGCCCTGGTTTACAGTTTGTGTGTGTGTGAAGATGGCTCTCTCCTCAAAAAGAATCATGAGTTCTAAGCTTTACAGGACATCTTTAAAGTAATGTTTAGCCTATAATATTTTGTTCTATGGAAGAAAAAATCGTGTTCTTCATCTCAGATTAATTCACTCCAGAAAATGTGAGAGATGCTTGAGTAATGATTGGATTTTATATCCACCTAGATCTGATGGGGTTTGTCTCTTCAGTGTAGTGTTCTGCAGCTGTTGTTTCTAGAAGAGCCCCAGGATGGCTGATACGTCATCGGGTCTCACCGCAAAGTTCACTTGCGTGTGGCACAGTTAGAAGATTATTTGCTGGAGAAAATTAATTTTAATTGCTCACTGGCTCGGTAATTACAGGATATAAACTCCAACCAGCACCAGCCTACCGATACCAGCGGAAATCAAGCCAAAATATTTCCCAGAGCTGCATTCACCCGCGTCTGGGTGCTGATTTCATGATTCCTTGAGCTAAACAGTGGTGGAGACGGTGAAGTCTAAACATCACTCCGTGATCATCGTCATGCAAACGGCACCCATCCACGCGCAGCCCCGCAGCCACACGGACGATGCCAGACAACCGAGGCTTTGGCCACATGACAGCCCCCGTCTGGCCTCTGCTCTCCCGTCGCTGGACTGGACCGCGCTGCCTCCCTCCCGGAAAACAACAACAAACACTAAGAGATCGGGGAAGAGAAACGCCTCAACGTCTCCATATTCCGGCCACGTGTCCGAAGAATTTCAGACACACCATGCAAGTTTCCCTACCGAAGCAGGGGTCTCACAGGGTCTCTTAGAAAACGCCTCGCCCCACAAGACAGAACAGAGAGGAGCACGCGCTGAACAAGTTCCGGGCATGTTCACCTGTGCTGCCCCTGCCTCAGCTTCCTTCCTCGTCAGCTTACAGGAAAGACACATGTGATTTTCGCCAGGAAGTGTTTGGGCGGGAAAGTTAAGTGCTTTTCATTATGCGTGCATTGAAAAGGACTCTAAAGTCCATTTTAGTAGGAATATCTTCTTCTCTTGTTGGAAAGCAACACTGAATAAGGATTCTAGTAGGAAATCAGAATTCAGCACATGCAGTGTCTAAGCCTGTTTGGGCTGTGGTAGCAGAGATACCCCAGACCCAGCGGCTTAAACAACAAACATTTATTCCTCACGGTTCTGGAGGCTGGGAGGCTGGGATCAGGTACCAGGGTGAGTGGGTTCCAGAAGGGACCCTCTTCCTAGTTCATAAATGGCTGCCTTCTTGCTGGGTCCTCACGTGGTGGAAAGGGTAAGGCACTCTCTGGGGTCCCTTTCGTAAGGACATGAATCCCCTTCATGACCGTTTCACTGCCATGACCTGCTCAGCTCCCAAAGGCCCTACCTCCAAATAACCACATGGGGGATTAGGTTTCAACGTATAAATTTCAGGAAGACACAATAATTCCATTTACAGCCCAGTTAGAGTTATACATAACCTAATATGTAACTAACCCTGAAAAACATCATCACAAAATCAAACATCTACAAAGGGCTATCTGTGTGCTTGTCAGCGAGTTCTCACACACAACAGGATTATCACCGTAATAAATTCAAATCTACAACATCGTGGCATTAATCCAATACCTCTTGGCAATCCGGGTGTCTGTGGATTAAGATTTTCCTTCAAAAACAAGAGGAGGTTAAATTTGCATCTTTGCAATGCCATTAAGAATTCGGATCACAGGTCAGCTTCCTCATAAAATTACACTATCCGGGCGGTCCCCCCAAACTCCCATGACTGGCTGAATCTGGGGTGTCTCTGGGCAGAGAGCACTGTCGGCACGTGGAGAAGGAGCACGGGAGCCCTCTCCGGAGAATCTCACCTTCACCTCAGCCCTCCAGGAGGTTCCTCAAACAAAATCCACATAAAAGGAGTCACTTGCAGTCCGAAAGTAAACGAACAAGGAGGTTACTATCTCAGCTGAGCGAAACCAGCTGAAATAACAGAAAACAGAAACAGGTTTCCAAGACCAGCATCACAGACGCAGAAAGACAGTATTTCAAGAACAGCCAAGCCTGACGGTACATGCAGGACCAAGAACACTGAAGAATGACACAGATTATTGAAAAAGAACCACACAGAGGTTTATTTATTTATCTATCTATCTATTTATTTAGTTTTAAAGTTTATTTTTATTTATTCTGAAAGAGAGATAGAGAACAAGCAGGGAAGGGGCAGAGAGAGGAAGACAGAATCCCAAGCAGACTCTGAGCCGTCAGCACGGAGCCCAGTATGGGGCTCGATCCCATGACCCGTGAGATCATGACCAGAGCCGAAATCAAGAGTCAGACGCTTAACTGACCCAGCCACCCAGGTGCCCCAGATAGAATTTTTAGGAATAAAAAAAGTAAACAATTTAAGTTGAAAACCCAGTGAACAAGTGGTTCAATGCTGTGCATTTTATACACAGCAGAAAAATTAGCCAAAAGATCCGTGTGATCTGTGTGAAGTACCGAAGTGCAGCACAAAGGTAAAAGGGAGAAATTCAGGACCGAGTGGTGGACTCTTGGAGGTTACCGTCAATCAGAAAGGCCAACCCACATGGACCCTGACACAGAAAACACAGAGAGCAGAGAGCATAAGACAGAGGCATCCTCTGAAGACAAAATGGCTGATGAAAGTTACCACACCAGACTCATGAGAATTCAATCAATCTGCACTTGGACGTACCATTTAAACACAATACACTGAGGTCAAAGAAAATGAATTTTAAGCAGCCAGAAAAGATAAAATATTACTTTCATATACGCAAATAATGATAGCAGACTTCTCATCAGCAAACTCGAAGTCAGAAGACAATAGAAAACCACCTTTCGTGGCCTGAAGGACACTGCTATCCACAGGACCACAGGATCATATGTCCAATAAAAATATACATGAAGAACAAGGGCCAGGAGGCTTCCCCCCCCCCCCCCGGGAACCATGGGCTAAGCAACTCTGATCAACCTGTCCACTAAAAACTAATAAAATGAAAACATCTTCTTGAAACATAAGACATCTAACAGGATAACATCTGAGGAATCGCCAGGCCAAGATCCAGGAAATAAAGGGAATCCAAAGACGTGAGCTTGATCCCTGGGGCCACTTTAGCCCAGGGGTTACTCTTGACTATGGACAGAGATGTTGAACCACATCCCGGACAGGCTGCGTGGCCAACAGGCAGAAGTACATGCTCAGGACACAGCAGAGGCCGTGGTTGCTTCTGAACTACCCCTCTTTGTGAACCGGGACCCCAATGGGGTCCATCCTGTCTCCCAGCCACGTGGGTGGCCCAAAGCATCTCACATTCTGAAGCTGTATGAAGGTACTCCCGAACCTTCCTGAGCAGGTGTCTGGCCAAAGCCCACAACAATCAGCTTTGGCCAAAGAGAAAATCACCCTAGACTTCAAATTATTTCTGCAAATGAGTTTTGAAAGTCACGTCCAGCACAGACAGCCAAATAGGCAGATAGAGAGAGAAGACAGCATAACAGAGAACCAGCAGTAACAACATACTTTGGAGCTTCAGCCTGGCTCCCTCCTGGATCACTCCTGCTGGGAAGACCGGGCGGTAAGTCACCTACGGAGAGGCTCCCACAAGGATGAAGCTTCCTGCCTCGGCACCAGGAAGCACCCGCCCCAGTCAGGCCTTCAGATGACGGTAGCCAGCATGCTGACTGCAACCCCACGAGCGCCTCTGAGCCAGAACCACTCAGATAAGCTGCTCTTGAACCCCCGATCACAGGGACTGCACGATAATAAAGTTGTTTTAAGCCAATACGCTTGGAGTGATTGGTTATGCAGCAACAGATAGCTAATGCACCCTCCTAGAGAGAATCTTACCCGTACGCACCGGAAGACATGGAAAAGAATGTTTACAACAGTGTTGTTTATTTTAGCATAAAATTAAGAGCAACCCAAATTATCCATCAATAGATCAGACAAGTAAGGATGTTTTAGTCGATGCAAATAACATGGCGGTAAAAGTGATTGCCCTACAGCTACACTACTGACGTGAATGAGTCTCACGGCACATTATCGTGTGAAAAAGCACCAACAGAAAAGTATGTACAATGTAACTGCATTTATATAAAGTACACAACCATAAAACGTTGAAAAATCTGTCCTTGGGGAATGAATTTTTATAAAAGGATGATTATTACAAAATAGTGATTACCAGTGGAAAAAAGGCTGCAGGTGACAGGTTTTAAAATACTGGCCACGCTCTTTCTTAATGCACACTGTGGTTTACACAGAGTTTTGCTTAAACTGTACACAGAATTGTATCCACTCCTGTATGAACTGTGCACAGAAGCGTATACATTCCTGTATCTACACTACCTTTCACAGTACAAGGAATGGGGTCAGGAGCAGTGTAAATAAAGACAATATATCTCTGAAAGGCAGACACAGGAAAGAGGTCAGGAGCTCACAGAGGAGGAGAAACAACTTTCCCCACTTGCATTTTGTAAAGGAAGCCTTTTCGGAGGTCCTGAGCCTAAAACAGAATCTGTCACAGTGGTGACCCCTTTCTCTTCTTCTGTGCCGACTTGTTTCTTATGGCCCCCAAAACAGACATTGCAAAAGCTCTCACAGCCTGTGCAGCCCCCCGACACTACGCTGTGGCAAGAAGAGAACGCGAGCTTGACTCTCGCGTTGCAAAGACATTTGTATGATGACAGGTACAAAGAAAGTTTAGAGAAACTGCTAAGGGGCCTGGAGTACCCTCGAGAAGAAAACAGAACTGTGCTGTATCACCCCGGACGCAATAAGATCTCAGAGATGGTGGCGGGAGTCAGGGGCTCAACAAGAACGAATCTAACGGACGTCTTGGGCAGACACCATCCAGTGCAACTAACAAGCTGAATGTGGCCAATTTCCTGCATGCGCCCACAGGCGCATCTCCCCAGGACAGTTTACGCCCCTCCCGGCCCCCATCCCGATCTCAGCAGACACTGGGGAGGGGATTTCTTTGCTGCCCATGGACATTCACCAAGTCTGTACACAGTGTGTGCCAGGATTCCAGAGATCACGGGCACAACGCGTGTCCTCTGCAGGGTCACAGTCTAGCAAGAGACACCGCCAGGAGACGCATGGATTACACGGCTTAGCAAGCGCCCTTCCTAGGAGAGTGAGTGAGCCTCCGGGCAGGCAGAACACCAGGCTGGGGCAAGCCGTGCAGGGGGTGACTGGGAGCTGGTTCCTGCCTCCCAACCTGCTCCCCCCGACTTCCCGGGTGTGGCTAACTCCCTTTATTCTTCCAGATCCTTGGGCCAAGGTGGCCTTTCCAGAGAGGCCTGCCCTCTTGGCCACAGCCCGCCCACTCCTCCTCCCCACGTCCCTTCTGACTCTAACGGAAGACATGCTGACAGGAGGTAGACGCCAGCCCTGCCCGTGGCCAGCGGGATAGAGCAGGCTGTGGGCACAGGTGGGCTGAAGGCAGAGGTGGGCTGAGGGCACAGGTGGGCTGTGGGCACAGGTGGGCTGAGGGCACAGGTGGGCTGTGGGCACAGGGGGGCTTAGTGCACAGGTGGGCTGAGGGCACAGGTGGGCACAGGGGGGCTTAGCGCACAGGTGGGCTGTGGGCACAG